TAAAAAAAAAAAAAAAAAAAAAAAAACAATTAATTGCTGAGCCAAAAGCCATTCCTAGGGGAGTGATATCTAGAATGGTCTGCAAAATGAAGCCTAACATTTTCACAATGCTGGTTAGAGGGAGGGGAGGTGGCATGGCATACAGATGGCATGGTATATGTGGGCCTTCTAGGAGCAGAGTGGCCTGCTTGGGTCACTTATTGGGGTCTTCAGGTAGCAGATGAAATAGGACACAAATTCTTTGCAACTCTATCCCCAAAAGATGCAGTTTATCCACTTGCACTTTCAATCCGGGCCGAGTTGGCTTTCTGACTTGCTTTGACCTATAGAACACTACAGAGGGCAATTTCTGAGACAAGGTCTCAAGAGGGCTTACAGTGTCCACTCTCACTGCTTGGAACCAGAGCAGGCTCCTGCAGCTGTGAAGCCAGATGGAAACAGAGAGGCCCAGCCGTGAGCCAGCGGTGGCTCCCAGATGAGAATGGAGGCTACCTCAGTCATTCCAGCCTGGTGGAGCCACAGATGACCATGGCCTCAGGAGTGACTGCAGGTGAAAGCAGCAGACACGCCACCAGTGGGTTCCATTCTGTTGGTCTCTGGCCTTGGGAGAGGGCAGAATCACTTAAAGCCATGACATTACTCACGATCGGTCGCCGATATAGGCCCTGGACCAATGCCCACCTCATGAAGGAGGGGGAAGGCCCTGCACCGCTGGGGGTCGAGAAGGGACCTATACCTAGTGGACGGTCCCATCTCGGGTCTCTCCATCAGTGCTCAGCCTCTCTCGGAGCAATGTGGAGCCAGGATGGTCCATTCAAAACCATTTGCCAGAGGCGAATCAAGGCCTGAGGAAGCTGCAGAGGCTTGTTCCAGACCTCAGAGCCTCTGACTTTCCTCTCTGTGAGACCCTGACCCCGGCCACCCACAGCACCACGGAAACAGCACCCAGTTTCCCGCCTGCCCTCCTAGGCCCCTCTCTGGGTAAACTCTGCCTCCACCTCTCACTGCCAAGTGGCAGAATCCTTCCTCCCCTTCCTCATCCTCCCTACTCCCTGCTCTCCCACTCCTCTTCCTCTTTTCTTCCTCCTCCTCTTTCTCTTCCTTTTTTTTCCCCCCCAAATTTGTATGACCTGAAATTTCAAACATCACAAAAGTAGAGAGATCGGCACAATGAGGCCACGTGGCAGCACCCAGGGCTATACTTCATCCACTCAGCCACTTGCTGGCTCAGCTGGAGGATTTTGAGGAGGATGTAGAGGTTGTAGCATTTCAGCTGTGAACATCTCCCTCCTCCAGGGCTCTACCTACAACACTTTACTCTCTACTGTACCCACCTCTTCGTCAGCCCTTAGCTGGCTGCAGACCCCTGGGTCCAACTCCCGTGACCCTGGGTTCCCCAGGCCTCCCATGTGCATTTTGTGGGTAGCTGTGGCATGTAAACCAGTCACATCTGGACAACTCAATGAGTTTTTAGCCCATGTCAGCTCCCATGGACCCCACGGTTGCTCTTTCCCTTGGGCTCCTTTGTGTCCTTTCTGCTCCTCACCACAATTCAAAATTATTTTTATTTACATACGCATGAGTCTTTTTCTTACTATTTGTCCCTTCTACTAGAATTAAATCTGTAGGAGGCAAATATCCACAGGTATAGAAAGTTAAGTCAGAATCCAGACTCTGCCACCATAACCCCTGAGCTTCTCCTCTCCACCCCAGCCTTTTCATCTGTAGAATAGGAGATAACAGTAGATAATGATCACAGGCCATGAGAAGAGTTACCCGAGATGAACACTAAGAAGCCAGGCAAGACAGTGTACACCTGTAATCCCAAGTACTTGGAGGCCCGAAGCCAGAGGATTGCAAATTGGAGGCTGGCCTGAGCAATTCAGTTAGACCCTGTCTGAAAATAAAAGGTGGGAGGCCAAGGGTGTCATTCAGTTATAAAGCACTTGCCTAGGAAGCATGAGGTCCTGGCTTTCCCCCTAGCACTGAAAAACAAAACAAAACTGAAACAAAACTGTGCTATTGTGCTTAAATCAGGATCTGAAACATAGGGAATGCTCAATAAATGTAGCTGTTGTCATCATTTGTTTAATCATGAAAGGTTTAGTACCTTTTATCCAAAATGCTTGAGGGCAAACCAGGAGCAGAGACGCACACCTGTAATCCCAGCACTCAGAAGGCTGAGGCAGGAAGATTGCTGTATGTTCAAGGTCAGCCTGGGCTGCATAAGGAGTTCAAAGCCACCTTGAGCTACATAGCAAGACACTGTCTCAAAAGGAAAAAAAAAAAAAGATGTCTAGGGACAGAAATATTATAAATGTTGACTTTTTTCAGATTTTGGAAAGTTTGCTATATGTAATGAAATATCTTAGGGATAAAACCCAAGGCTAAATATAAAATTCATTTATGTTTCATCTGTACTTTATATACATAACCTGAAGGGAATTTTTTTATAGTACTAGGGATTGAACTCAGAGCATTTATACTGTGCTACATCCCAATCCTTTTATTTATTTATTTATTTATTTTTATTTTGGTACTGGGGATCAAACTCAAGACCTTGACTTTTGAAGCAGGTGGCAGCACCACTGAGCTAAATCCCTGGCCCTTTCTATTTTTTACTTTGAACCAGGGTCTCCCTAAGTTGCTAAGTTTCCCAAACTTGATTCAAACTTGCAATCCTCCTGCCTCAACCTCCCAGAGTCCTGGAATTACAGGCAGGTCATTTTATACAGTATTTTTAGTGCACTTGCAGAGTGCCAACCATTACAAGAGGTCAGGTGTGAGAAGATCCACTTGTGCACCACACTGGCACTCATAAAGTTTTGGGTTTTAAAGCATTTTGGACTTTTGGGTTAGGAATGATCAACCCGGAATTGCTCTCTGTCTCTCTGTCTCTCTCTCTGTCTCTCTCTCTCTTTCACACACACACACACACATACACACACACTTCATCAGTAGCCAACACAGCTGCTGGCCCATAATAGAGGCCCAGATGAATGAGTCCTCAGCCTCTACCACTCCTCCAATACCCTGGAGATGGCTAAGTCCTGGGGCTGAGTAGTGGAGCTGCTCATCCTGAGGCCCAGATCAGCCAAAGGGGCTGCCTGATCTGGAGCTGCCAAAGGTGCAGCTCTCCTGATCCCTGGTCTATGGGCCCAAGAAGGACTTACAGGGAAAGATCTACTGCCTCCCTGGCTGTGCAAACTGTGACTCTGCGTATCTCATCCTTGGACCCAGGGCCCAGGTCCCTGGGAGAGCTTCTCCTGCCTTTTTTGCGGATTTCATCTTCCCTCTTATGTCACACTCGCTCCCTGCCGTTCTCTAGGGCCCATCACGTGAGATCACTGCTAAGTGACCTGGGTGTATGAGGAAAGAGCAGGAGGACAGAGTATCAAGCCGGAGAAATGGAGGCATCCTGACAGAGGGTGGGGAAGGTGTGTCGCGGTTCTGCTGGATGGAGCCTCTGAGCTCCTGGAAGTCAGATTCAACAGAAACCCAGAGGAGCAGATGGGATAAATAGACGTAACCACACAGTAAGTAACAGTCGTGCTATACCTGCTCCCAGGAGCAGTTTCCATCCAGAGAGTCCATGGAGACAAAGTCAGCTAGTTTTCAGTAACCCAAGGTCGCACTCCAAAAGGCACATATGGGCCAGGGATTTAGTTCAGTGGTTCTGCCACCTGCCTTGCAAGTACAATGACCCAAGCTCCATCCTCAGAACAACAACAAAAAAGGCAGATAGATTTTTCTTCTCTCTTACTGTTTTTAAAAAAAAGAGAGATTATAACTTGGAGCCTGAGGCAAGAGGATGACAAATTCAAGCCCAGCAACTTAGAGACTTAATAAGACCCTGTCTCAAAATGAAAAAAGTAAAGAAGAGCTAGAGGCTTAGCTCAGCACAAAAGTCCTGGGTTCAATTCCCAGTACCATCAAAAATATTATAATTTTTTTTTTTTTGTACCAGGGATCCAACTCGAGTCCTTGTGCTTACAAGGCAGGTGGTGGAACCACTGAGCTAAATCCCCAGTCCCAAAATATTATAAATTAAATTTAACAAAATAAAAATATTTTTTCAGTAGAATGGTTACAACTTATGAAATCTGTGATGTTATTAGAAACAATAATACTGTCATAAAAGACTATAAAAGTATAAGTTGAATTTTTTTTTTTGAGACAGGGTCTCACTATGTAGTGAGACTGACCTGGAACTCACTATGTAGCTCAGGCTGGTCAAACTCACATTAGAGGCTTAGCTCAGCACAAAAGTCCTGGGTTCAATTCCCAGTACCATCAAAAATATTATAATTTTTTTTTTTTTGTACCAGGGATCCAACTCGAGTCCTTGTGCTTACAAGGCAGGTGGTGGAACCACTGAGCTAAATCCCCAGTCCCAAAATATTATAAATTAAATTTAACAAAATAAAAATATTTTTTCAGTAGAATGGTTACAACTTATGAAATCTGTGATGTTATTAGAAACAATAATACTGTCATAAAAGACTATAAAAGTATAAGTTGAATTTTTTTTTTTGAGACAGGGTCTCACTATGTAGTGAGACTGACCTGGAACTCACTATGTAGCTCAGGCTGGTCTCAAACTCACAGTGATCCTCCTGCCTCAGCCTCCCGAGTGCTGGGATTACAGGCATGCGCTGCCATGCCCAGCTCTAAATTGAATATTTTAACAAAGATCAAGATCAAACATTTTCAAATTTTTTAAAGTAAACACATGATCATTTGGAAACTCAATGTAGACCTGTATGAAGTAAGGGTTAAGAGTTCTCCTTCACAGACTGCTTCTCTAGGTCTGTACTATACTGTAAATATTCCCTCCAAAGCCAGGTATGGTTACACATGCCTGCAATCCCAGCAGGCTGAAGCAGGAGGACTGACAGGAGTTTGAGGCCAGCCTGGGCTACACAGTAAATTCAAGGCCAGCCTGAACTGCATAGCAAGACCCTCTCAAAAACAAACAAATAAACAAACAAAACGTTCCCTTGAAGTTCTTGTGTTGGAAACATAATCTCCAAATTCACCCATTGGTGGTATTAGGAGGTCCAGCCTTTGGGATGTAAATAGGGTTAGATAAGGTCATGAGGATGAGGCCCTATGACTAGGTTAGTGTCTTTATAAGCAGAAAGACCCAATCTTGCACCTTGCCCTATCCTGCTGGGTGGTGCCCTCTACCAAGTTATGACAGAGCAACAAGACAACATCACATACCAGCAACTTGATATTGAGTCTCCTGGCCTCCAGAACCGAAACATGAGTGGACAAATTTCTAATGTTTATAAACTACCCAGGCTCTGGTATTCTGTTATAGCAACAGCAAACACATTACTTATTAGCATCATTCACCTTAACCACAGATGACTGCTTCCTAGGGAGGGAGGCTCCCTCTTCCCTGGTCAATCCCAGTGCCATCAATTGCCCTGAGCTCAAGTCTAGCAATCTAACCCCTAAAGCCAGATGAGTAACATGTCTGGCCTGGCACTAAAAGAGAGGCCTTCCCTGCGACAGCACTTGATATCCAGCCATCCAGCCATTCCTAAAAACTGTGATCTCCGGCTTAGACATGGCTCCTGAGCCAAACCTGCACCCATGACAACTCCTAGCCCCATGGGACAGGTGCCCTTTGTCATATTTGAGAGTTGCCCTCGAGGGACCTTCACACAGGTCTTCAAACCACCCTGTGATTGGAGGCCCTGACAAGGGCTGCTGAGACAGGAGGATCGCCGCGAATTCGAGGACAGCATGGGCTACATAATGAATTCAAGACCAGCCTGGACTACACAGCAAGACTATGAAAAAAAAAAAAAAGTGACTCTGACCTGCTCTCTCAAATCCTGTTGAGAGGGGGTGAAAGTACAACTTCTCGCCTGGGAACCCAGAACGCCCTTCTCTTGCAACCAGCTCTCTGAAGCCGTCAGATATGTAAGTAACACAAACGATTTCGGCAACTAATTACTGAGCAATTGGTATGCTCTGGGAGAAGAGCTCGACCGAGGCCGCCTGGTGACTGTAAGTCTGCGGTGCCACAGCCAGATGGCGCTAAAGGCTCATTCGTGGACACTATCTGTCAGGCTCTCTTCGTTCCAGAGAAACTGGTATCAGAATGAGCAGACACCGTGGGCAGAGGAAGAAGAGGATACTAGGGCTGAGTTCAGAGCATCCTGGTCAAAGAGGAGATAGGAAGACTAGCGGATCGGGGCGCACTCTGAAGGCGGTAAAGGACCTAGGGCCTGGAGTGGGCGGGGCTTGCTTCCGAGAAAGGGTAATATAAATACGGGCGGGGCTCTGCACTAGCAGGAGGCGGGGCCTTGTGGAGGGGTTGGATTTTGTTCTCTGCCTGTGCTACGGGGCCGGCAAAATCTAAACAAGAGGATTCTCCAGGTGGGGAGGATTTATAGGCCTATGGGGCGGGGCTTCCAGGCGGGGCCAGGAGGAGGGGCTCGCGTAGGCGAGTCACTTTCTCCGTGTGAAGTGTAGCCGTGTGTAGGCGGGGTTCTTCCTCTGAGTTCAACCAGCGAAGGGGAGCCCGCCTTGTAGCTAGGGGCGAAGCCTGCAGATTTTACCGGTTCTCTGGAGGGCGGAGTTTGTGTCTCTAGTGGACAGAGTTAATGATTCTGCAAGATGCAAGATTCCTTGAAGAGTGGAAGGCTCTGTAAAGGGGTGGAGTTTGCAATTGTGTTAGGCGGGGCACATAACTGCCTGTGATCGTGTAAATTCTGGGCGGAGTTCATACCTCTGGGAGGCGGGGCCTAATCACTCCGCAGTAAGAGCCCAGGGGAAGGGCGGGGATTATGGGTTGGACGGAGGGAACTGGGCGGGGCTGAGATGACAGAAGGGCGGGACAATAGCTCTAGGAATCTGAGCTGGCAGGGAGTGAAGCTTGTGGCTTTGGTGGGCGGGGCATTTTGGAGCGTTCCCAAGGAGACTTGGCAGTGGATGGGCGTGGCTCGTAGCTCCTAGCGGCCGGCCGGATAGCTCCTGGAGCGGGGGCCAGGGAGTGGTGGGCCGGACTTGAGACACTGGCCTCTGCTTGGGCGGAGCCGGGCCTCGATGCTGGCTGGGGCTCTGCCCTGGGAGGCCGTCTGTTTAGGGCCGCACGCAGCTCTGCATCTGGTGCTCATTACCGGATGACAAAGAGCCGATTCTGGGCCCCCTTCCCCACTCCCATCCTCCTGCGACTGCAGTGCATTTAACTCCTTCCTGCCCTCGCGGCGCTCTGGAGGCTCAGCCTGGTGTCCTGGGAGGGAGTTTCAGAGTTTCCCGTTCAGCTGATCTTTTCATTCCCTAAACCCAGCAAACCACCCCCTCGGCTTCTCGGAGGTTAAAACCCAGCAGGACCTGGCGGGGGCGTCTGGTTTGAGTTAGGGGAACGTGAGAGCAGCCACCGTGGGCGGTCCGTAGCTTTCCCTCCGCCCCCTCCGCGACCTCCCGGTTAGTCCCCAGGTCCGGCCCCTCCTCTCCTGCTCCCCTGGGGCTCAGCCTTTGGTCCAAGAGTGACCTACTGCTCCAGGTACGGGAGTGGTGTTGAGCCACTTCTCCTCGCCTGCCCCGGTAGTGGCGGCGTCTCTGCCCCGTCCTAATTAGAGGTCTTAAGGGGTGGAAACTAAAAAATTATAGAGTCGGTGGGAACCGGCGCCTCCCTAGTCCAGGTCCCGCCTCCTCCCCCCAGGCAATGAGCCCAGGATGAGGGAGTTTATCCAACAGCTGTAATCTTCCTGCTGTGATTTCTAACCTGGGCCCCCTTCCCCAGATCCTGGGACTCCTGAGCTTTCTCTGTGACCCCGCACCATCTTCAACCCGCACGAAGTAGTATGCAATGTGGCCTTGAGCCGCTTTGCCTCACAGGCTGTCCCGGAGATGGACCTGAGCTCTCTTGAGTTCCTGCTATCTCCACCTCCTCCTCCTGGGCTCTGATTTCTGCCTCTTCCCTAGAGCAAGAGGGAGGAACGCCTCTCTGAGCACCTACAATCCAGAGAGGGTGGCAGCATCCTTAGGTGACCTGAGTCCCAGCCCCCAACTTCTGGGCAGCGGGCCAGGATGGGAAGGGATGTTCCAAAGAAAGTTCAGAGGAGCTCACCCGCTAGATGCCCCCTTCATCTCCCCAAACCAGCAGCCCCAGAGCCTATCTTTGACCCCTAAACCCCAATTTTACTGCAAGTCATCACAAGCCTAATCTCTAAATCTTCCCCTAGTTTCAGCCTTGCCTTCTTGGAGTTTTGGTGAAAAGAGGAACAAATATGCTAAATCTCAGATTTCTGGGCTTGCTGTGTGACAAGTCCTAGGCTCTGCCCTCTCTGGTCTCCTGCTTCCCTGAGAATTTCTGAAACATACCCACCCTTAAGGGGTCTTACCTTACCCAGACAAACTGAAAGAAGGTCCATTCTGTTTTTCTGAGTCTTCCCAGACCCTCCCGTCCGGCATCAATGAAGGTCAGGCGCTTTGGCTGAGGTTGGTACCCCGTTTATTGAAGACCCTAGCACCCAACCCCTGAGGTCCTGGGGGCCTTGGTGTATCCTCTGTCACGAGTGTGGGATCCAGGGAGCAGGAGGCCCTCTGTCCAGGTGGGCAGCCCCCATTGGTCCCTGTTGCAGCCTTGGCCTTGTGTCCAGCTATGTCCCTTCCCTCTACCTGCAGGGACATCTTGCCCTGTCACACGCTGGTTCTGCAGGTCTGTACCCCTGTGAAGCTTCCCCTGGAGGGCATGGGTTCCGTTTGGCCTTTGCTCCCAGCATGGGTGACCCAGTGATAGCAGTCAGTGATGCGCTTATTAGGTGCATGAGGGCCACAGCGGGTGCAGTACACAATGCCCAGTGCAAGCAGGACCACCAAGAAGACACATGTTGGGACCAGGAGTGCCACCAGCAGCCACCGGTCATCCCTCTGGCTTCGACCTGCTAGACCAGCCTCTGCCAGAGCTGTTGGAACTGCGGTAGGGACCAATTTGGAAGTGGAGCCACCTTCCCATGGGACTTGGGGAGCTTTGGAATGGGGCTGTGTAGGGCTGATGCGTGAGGTCTGGTTAGCTGGGCTTTGAGAGGACAGAGGAGTAGGGAGGGCTGGGAGCTGAGAGACAGCAGGCAAAGAGGCCTGATGGGCAGGGGTCCCAGGTGACCCAGAGGTAGTGGGCGGGGTGTGTGGGACAGTTGGGGTAAAAGAAAGCTGGGGGGCTTGAGTCCTGACAGCTGTGACATCTCTGAACAGAGGGGGTTGATGGGCACTTGGAGTGGTATCCTGAGGGGAAGGCTTAGCTGGAATTCCAGACAGATGAATGGTGGTCTGGGTGTCAGCCACCCGAGGGTCCAGAAACAAGGGAGACTGGTGGTTAGGGAAGAATTGGGGATATTTGGCTGAGGTAATAGGGGGCTGGTGGGCAGGAGGCTGTGCTGGGGGAATGACAGAGATAACTTGGGGCTGGTGTGCAGAAGGCAGATCTGGATAGTTGGTCTCTATCATGGGAGTCTGGTGGTAAGGAAGCACGGCTGGGTGCATGGCGGGAATCATGGGGTGCCGATGGGCAGGGCTCAGGGGTGGGTGTGTGGCAGAGATAATAGGGTTCTGGTGGGCAGAAGACAGAGTGGGGTACATGGAAGAGATCACAGGAGGTCTATGGGCAGGGCTCAGGGGTGGGTGTGTGGCAGAGATAATAGGGGTCTGGCGGGCAGAAAGCAGTGTGGGATGGGTGGCAGAGATTACCAGGGGCTGAGTGTCAGAAATCACTGAGGAGTGGTAGGGGACCCTGGGGGCACTGAGTGGGGGTGGCCAGGTAGGATCCAGATGGGGTCTCCTCCGCTCTTGCTCTCCTGGGTAGCTGGGTCTATAAACCAAACCAAAGTCCGGTGGCTGCGTGGGTTCCATCCATAGGATCCCAGGGTTCTCTGTCCAGCCACCATCAAAGACCCAGTCCTCCTTCTTTTCCTCCTCCTCCTTCTCCTCCTCCTCCTCCTCCTCCTCTTTCTCCTCCTTCTCCTTCTCCTCCTCCTCCTTCGCCTTTTCCTCCCCACCATCCAGCAACTCATCTACAAGGTCCTGGGAGGCCTTGGCGCCCATGGCACCTGTGGGGATACAGTTGGAGCCATCCTCCTTGAGCTCGTGACCCTCACTGCAATAACACTCGAAGCCACCAACGTAGTTAACACACATCTGCTGGCAAACACCGGGTATCTGGCACTCATCTGTGTCCACGCAGCGGTGTGGCTCATCCTCGGATGGTCGGAAGCCCAAGAGACAGTGGCAGCTGTAGCCCTGTGGCCCACCAGGCTCACAATGCTGCTCACACGGGGCTTGGGCACAGGGGTCCTCACAGCTGTGCCCATCTGCTGCCAACTGGAAGCCCTCAGTGCAGTGGCAGGACACCTGACCATTCATGTCCTCCACACATTCATGTTCGCAGCCCCCATTGTCCGGGCCACAGCCAGTCACTGGGCACAAGGGCCCAGCCCGAGACCAGCCCACACCTCCTTCAGGCTGCTTCACGCAGAGCAGAGAGGCTCCCCTGCCAGCCTGGCACTGCACAGCAGCCACGGAGCCAAAGGGCAGCCACTCAAACTCCGTGGAGACCAGGTGGAAGGGCGTGGTGTAGATTGTGGGGCTGTCCTGGCCCATGTCATCCGGCAACGCTGGGCAGGCACCCTCGAAGCCAAACTGGCACAGGTAACCATCAATAGGCAGTGTGCACGAGCCCTCATGCCAGCGATGGGCATGGCTGGCCTCCAGGGCCACACAGCGCTGGGCCATGCAGGACCCTCCCATGGCTTGCTGGGCCCAGTTGGTGAAAGCTGTGTCCTGGTCTCCCGTGGTCCATGTGAAGCCACGAAGTGGGCGCTGCAGCTGGCACTGCCGTGCCTGTCGCTGCAGTCCGATCCACAGCAGCTTGTCTTTCGGGCCAGCGCCCACCAGGCTGTCCACACGCCGGGCCTCCTCGGGCGTCCGCGGTGTGGCCAGGTTGCCCCCCAGCTCACGGCAGGCCCGCCAGGCTTCCAGGAAGGTGCGGGATTCAGGGTAGAGCACGTAGCAGCTGCTGGGGCCGCAGGTAGCGTGCGGCTCAGTG